GCGCACACTTTTATCCAAACTTTTATACTCTTAATCCTAATTTTTTATTGTAACATATTTTATACATGTTTATCGTTCGATTATAATGTTTGAAAAAAAGTGTGCAGTGGTGACTTGAATATTGCATACATCGTGGTGTATTATTACAATAAAACGATTGTATTGTTAAAAATTGATTTAGAAAGTATTGTTATTTGTAAAATATAATATAAATACATATTCATTTGTGTAATTAGAAATTTAAGTGAGGTATCAAAGACACTTTTACTAATATATTTTATCAATTTTAAACAAGCACAGAATATCTTTATTTTTTCCTTGCAAAATGAATTTTTCAGGATTATAAAATTTATAAAGTGAAAACACACATTAAATCGTATTATTAAATTCTTGGAATAAATAAAGTGTACTATAATAAATGCAACATATACTGTACAGAAATGATTTTTGTAAAATTGTTGTAATGAAACTCATAGTTGCTAGTATAAAACGTATTTAGTTAATACAGAACTGATACCATATGTTATAGCATCGGCGAGACACTTTCACCTTGATATGATTAAACTTTATACGCAGTTCGCATTTGAACCAACACATTTTCAGTACGATGCTAGAAATTTATATATCCCACATGTAGCTATACAAAAAGCACCAGCATGCACGTCACATATAGAATTAATGCGAGCTTTGTCACTGGAAACAATTTATAAATTACAATGACGTTACATACTCTTTATTCTCAGTATGTAAAGCATTACTAAAGCTTTAAGTACCTTTCAAATAAGTTACAGTACTTTAGAAATGCGTTTCATACATACAGAATTGTACAAAAAGCTTTGTCCATTTTATAACATTATTAATTTCGTAGGAAAATCTTTAAACACCAACTGCAGGGCATTCCAAGAGCAGCAGAATATGTTTTATTCTATATACATACATACATATATACATATATATATACACACTTAAAATCATACATATATATGTATATATGAATACGATGATTTAAAGAATTTTCTGATAAATATATGTCACACCACTGCCCTTAGTTTGTACTGCGAGTATAAGGCAAATTTAGATTATAAAGCTAAATTACAAGTTATATCTATCCCTTATTTATAAAGCAATTGATGATAATGATTATTATTACTATTATTAATTTATCACAAGCCAATGGTGTACGAAACACTTAAAATACTGTCTGTAGCTCGCGAGCTGCACAAAGCGTGATACGAGTAGGACGTTCAATGTGACCTTACACTTTAAAGTTGTATTCTGGAAAGATTAATCATAAAATATTACCTTTCCCGTACAATTTTGTAATTTTTATGCAAGTATTTTGAAAGAACTGAAAAATATTCAACTCGAGTGAAGTAGATGAGTCCAATTCATAACAATATTACATGAACATGTGTTCATTGGCAACATAAAAAAATGTACACATCATTATTAATAATTAAACATAACAACGAAACATATATGAATGCATATCGACAGGTAACTGTTTATAGAATGAAAATTCACCTTATTGTGAAGAAAGTATTGCGGACAGGCAAGATATCTCTTCAAATTATTTTGTTAGACCTAGAAGAAGAAGCATGTTACGTGCAAAAATGTCACTGCAATGATAATACTAAACATTACCTTTAATAAAACAGATGGATAGCCATAGATACAAAAATTCAGACTTGTCTAATAATGTTGCCAATGGTTTTTGTTAATTTTTAAAAAATGGTTTCATTATTAGAACAGAAGCAAATTTCGTGTAGGTCGAAGAAAAGAGAATAAAATTCTTATACTTATGCAATATAATATCCTTATATGTCCTAAATACAGTAATCGCTTGCAAGAGCTGATTGAATTTGTAATATAGTGTGCTCTTTACAAGTGCAAACAAATTTTATGTGTCCATTCCAAGAATGCCAGGTTTGCATTGGAAGAATTTTCTGTAGAGTTTACTGTCTTACCACCGATTTCAATTATCTGATCAGAATTGCAATGTTTAGAATGAAATTTCATGCAATAAGTTACGAAAACATAAAAAGTAGTTAAAATTTTTTATCTGTAACCTACTCAGCACCAGACACTGGCATACAACAACTCGAACGATGAGGAGATTGTTGTTTCGAAAGATCAACCGTATCTTCTACTAATGGACGCTCTAATCTAGCTTCTAATTGTGCCCAAGCAGCGACAGCTGCACCAAATGCTGCTTCAACATTGGTTGCATCTTTTGCAGATGTTTCTACTAATGGAGGATCTCCATTCTGTGCACACCAAGCTTGAGCTTCTTCTGTGGAAACTTGTTTCTCAGAATCTGGAACATCCACCTGCAAAAGTTACGTTATTGAATGTCAAAGTTATTTGTGTCTTCCTATTTCATCAGTATTTTTGCCTACTTTATTGCCAACAACTATAAATGGAAATGTTGATCCTTCTTGTACGTCTGCATAATAAAGAAATTCAGATCTCCAAAGTGCTAAATTTTTAAAGCTTGTCCTGTCGTCAACTGCATAGGTCAACAGACAAATGTCAGAGCCTCTATAAAAGGGAGTTCTAAGAGTCTTAAATCTCTCTTGACCTGCTGTATCCCATATTTGAAGCGTATATGCTTCTCCATTAATCTCAATGTCTTTGTTTAAAAACTCCACGCCAATAGTATGAAAACTATGCTCATCGAAATGATTTGACACAAATCTGTTCATAAGACATGACTTTCCTACACCACCATCGCCCAAAATCACTACTTTCAATAGTGTTGATCTCTGAGAATTACGGTTTTGTAGATTTCCACCTCTTGGTGTACTTGTTGTGGTAGAACTGTTTGCTGACATTTTTAATTAGTTGTTTTTTTACTAAACTATACACTCAAAAAGTACAATATATATATGTATATATATATGTGTGTATGTGTGTGTATATATATTTATATCTCTCTCATATCAATATTCTTGATATCAAGTAATCAAATTCTTTGTTTGCCGATCGCATTCGATAATTTCCTGTCAATGTAGGAATCAGCTGATTCGGATACTAAATAAGTCAATTCACTTTTACTTTACACCACTCTCATTTTTCGACCACAGTTTACCGCCGATAGCTCGTGAGCATTGCGTTTTTGGTACATTATCAATAATTACACCGTTCAAAGTATTTTAATACCGTGATCATTATTCCACGGCAAAGCATAACCTTCTCATTTCATATTAAACTTTGAATGGTCGCTTGAAAATAATGTTTAATTGATTTTTATTAACGACACTGTAATTTAAAACCTTACAGAAGCCATATATTTTGCCTTCTTTGGTTTTAATTTAATTATTCGCATAAAAACAGATACCTGACGATGATGCCTTTTGGTATTGAGTCACAACCATCGGTGAATGAAATTGTAATTTCCCCAATTGGATATGTGTTGTTTGTTCACTCGGAGGCATTTAACTAATGCGAATAACATGAACGATCCTTCGATGTTTTCGAACAGCTAGAATCTGTTACTGTCTTTCAACATTTTTATTGCACGCAAAGTATTTGACACTTTGCAGACGACGAAAGGAACGCCCATGTTGGATGTTGAACACACAAGGCAGAACATGGCTACCTGAAATTATAAATAATATCAATCCCGTGCACGCGGAACACTATTGTATTCTATAACCAACTAATAATAACTTTTATCATGATAACACTATACTCAATGCGACACTGCGGTATGCCACGTAAATCGTAAATTAAATCGTGTGGGTGTACGGTACTTATATTTTTTTTTAAATACAACTTATAATTAGACCGTCCAATGTTTACGCATAGTCATATTTTTATAGTCCAATTTATAAACACAGAAATTGAATAAGAACATATTTACTCTTCCAGTAGTTTAATCGTACGAAAAGGAAAATAAGATCTATATTAAGTTTCATTAAAATTCTTATTCGTTTTATTTAGTTGCGACTACTGCAAATGCATAAAATTCAAGTTCATTAATTGAAACAGTACAAGGAACGTGCGTATCAGTTCATCTATAGAACATACAAATATATCTATAGAAATTGTAATTGTTTATTATTGTTTGACAATTTTGAAATAATTTGAATTATGTTTCACAATCAATCGGAAGATGGTGTTCTGACGCTTGAAAGATTATTCTGTGGACCTTTAGATGGCGTGTACAATTACAATGTAGAATAGTGCTCTGAAGAGACTACTTTTTATTTCGAACAAATGTTAAAACAAAGTGAAAGGACGATTCATTATACATTTTTCCATGTTTTCATAATTAAATCTAATATGGAAATTCCATCGCATTGAAGGAAATTGAACATTGTAAGAACACATACACACCCTTATACAACTTCATAACCATCATGCATTTTATTTTGTATTCGTATTAATAAATAATGGAAACAAATTTCCTCTTTTTTTTTATTTAAAAATATACGCTTTTCAGGTAAAGTATTTTTATAGAAGATGGCAAATCCTCCCACAAATGTTGGCCAATCTTACTTTTGGAATTCAGGAGTCTCACAATCACAAAACATGGGGTACTATTCTGTGCCTCCTCCAAATTTTCCACCTCCAAACTTTAGGCAACCACCGCCGTCTTATAATATGCCTGTTTCCACTTTACCTGAGAATAAACCAACCAACTTCATATCTTCGTATCAGTCTATGACATGTTATCGAAATGAAGTTCCAAATTCTTATTCTGATACCTCTTACCAAAATCAAACACAGCCACAATGTAACAATCAAAACTATGGTCTTCCTGGTTATTCTCAACCAGCAGCGGGAAATTTTAATTCAAATTGGGAGGAGAGATCTACGTATCACAACAGTACCAGCAGTGAATGGAGTTCTAATAGTTATACATGTGAGTGGAACAAGTTACAAGATAATAAAAGTTCTTGGTATGAAACAAATAAAGTGCAAGAGGATAACAGGAAATCTGTGTATGATAAATCTAACGACTCTGTAAAAAGTAAGAGATCCGAATGGAAATTTAGAGATAAAGAGTCTTCTAGTTGTCATATCAGTAGTAGGAAACGTTCTAGAAGTCCAGAGAATAGATCTAGATCTAATAGATCACCATATAAATCACGATATGATTCTCAGAGAGATAGGTATTCAAAGTATCATAGCAATAGATCAAGTTCTAAAGAGCGGTCACACAATGAAGACTCTTCTGATAGAAGATCATCCTATAAAAGGAATTTTACATATGTGTCACGTTCCCAAAGATCATATACAAGTCATAGAAGCAGGAAGAGATCAAGATCATTAGAATCTTACTCGTCTAGAGCTAGTAGTCCAAATAATAGTACTTCTAGTAAGAGGGATCCAACAGAAAGAGAGTTACTACTTGAGAAATATAGGTGAGTAACATTTGCTTTTGTAGTTACTCCTATACAAATATTTATTGCTATCTGTATATATCTTTACAGGCAGAATTATTGTGCAACTAGCAAAGATATGGAAAGAAAAATGGATGAATTATCTGCAATGGGACCCGAAGGAATAATAGAAAATGCAAGAAAAGTTTGGACACGTACTGCACCAGCAGATTTATATTATTCTAGGGATGATGACAACCCAAAAATAATGAAAGGCACATCAAAATTGCATGAATTATGTGAATTATTTAAAAAAATATTGATGGACAGAGCTACATCTGCAAAAGCTTTACAGGTACATTTAATGTTAGCAACCTAGTTGAATGTTCTTGAGCATTTAAAACTATAATTCATTGTTTATTATACAGCCTCCTTATGAACCACCACCAAGAAAAACTAGAGCACGTTTATGTAGGCATAAATCAGAGGTTTGCAGCAGCTCTTCTTCTGATAGTGACAGTTCAATGGATGAAGATGATAGAACAATGGAAGAGTTAATGGCAAAGAAACAACACCCACAACGATTACATCCGGAAATGTGGTTTAATGATCCAGGAGAAGTAATATACCCTTTTATGTTTTACAAGATATTGAGGAGTATAAATAATGCTTTACAAAATTGGATATATTTCAGATGAATGATGGACCATTATGTAGGTGTAGTGCAAAGTCAAGGAGATCTGGAATTCGTCATGGCATTTATGCTGGAGAAGGTGCAATAAACAAATGTGATCTAAACTCAACCAATGCAGATAAATTGTACCATTACCGAATAACAATTAGTCCGCCAACAAATTTCCTTACTAAAACGCCGACAATTATCAAGCATGACGAACATGAATTTATATTCGAAGGATTTTCTATGCTTTCTCACTTCCCTCTTGTAAAATTGCCAACTTGCAAAGTAATAAGATTTAATATAGAATATACGATTCTGTATATAGATGAAAAATTACCAGAAAATTTTACCATTCAAGAACTGGATTATTTTCGTAAGCTCTAATTTTTTATAATGTATAGACAACTTTCTACTAGCATATATTTAATGCGTGACTTTCAATTTCAGAAACGTATTTATTTAAAGAAATATTGGAACTAGTTGATTTCGATTTACAAGCAGCGCAAGATAAATCTGGCTGTGGACAGTTTCATTTTATGCCAAGATTTGTACGTGACTTAGCAGATAATGGACAAGAAATCCTATCTATGAACGAGGTTTTAAATTATTTAATAAAAAGTAGTAAACTGTTAATAGATCCAGAAGATTTACCTAGGTTAGTGGAGATGCCACAATATAAATGGCAAAATTTTGCGGATGAAGTGAAAGGTATGATAGTTACATACCCTGGAAAAAAGCCTTGCAGCGTTCGCGTGGATCAATTAGACAGGAATCAAACTGATCAATCTCCCGGTGTAATTGCTTATCCCGAAATTGTTCATTTCGGAATCAGACCTCCTCAACTTAGCTATGCAGGAAACGCAGAGTAAATATATTCTCTTTAAGAAGATCATTCGTCAACGGTAAAACGGTATTTAAATTTTATGTTTCTTATTTCAGTTACCAAAAAGCATGGAGGGATTATGTAAAATTTCGTCACTTACTAGCCAACATGCCAAAACCATCGTTCGAAGATAAAAGGAAGTTAGAAGCGAAGGAGAATAAACTACAAGAATTAAGAACGCAAAGTAAAATGAAGCGCGACGTTACCGTAGACGTTAGTTCTGAGGGATTTTACAGGACTGGAATAATGTGTGATATAGTACAGCACGCCATGTTAATCCCTGTACTTGTCTGTCATTTGAGATTTCATAAATCCCTGGATAATTTAGAACGTACATTAGGATATGAATTTAAGAATAGGTATCTTCTTCAATTAGCGTTAACGCATCCTAGTTACCGCGAGAACTTCGGTACAAATCCAGACCATGCTCGAAATTCTTTGACCAATTGTGGAATAAGACAACCCGAGTATGGTGATCGTCGAATTCATTACATGAATACACGTAAACGCGGTATCAATACATTGATTAATATAATGTCAAGATTTGGCGCGAGGACGGAAACCGAATCTTCAATAGCGCACAACGAAAGATTGGAATTCTTGGGAGACGCGGTAGTTGAATTTCTTACGTCGATTCATTTGTTTTATATGTTTCCCGATTTGGAGGAAGGTGGCTTAGCAACTTACAGAGCAGCAATTGTACAAAATCAGCATCTTGCTGTGTTAGCAAAGAAATTGAACTTAGAAGAATACATGCTCTATGCTCATGGCAGTGATCTTTGTCATGATTTGGAATTAAGGCATGCTATGGCTAATTGTTTTGAGGCATTAATGGGTTCATTGTTCCTTGACGGAGGCATAGAAGTAGCTGATAGAGTATTCGGAGAAACGCTATTTAAAGACGAAGAAGATCTTATGAAAGTTTGGGTGAATTATCCTAAGCATCCTTTGCAAGAGCAAGAACCGACAGGCGACAGACAATGGATACCGAGTTTTGAATTGTTACAAGTGAGTATACATAGAAAAAAAATAACGCTGTTACAATTTTATTATTAAATATTGATATCTTGTTTTTTTACAGAAATTAACAAAATTTGAAGAATCCATTGGCATAGAGTTCACTCATATACGTCTTTTAGCAAGAGCATTTACTGATCGCAGTATAGGATATACGAATTTAACATTAGGTTCTAATCAACGTTTAGAATTTTTAGGGGACACTGTATTACAACTCATAGTTTCAGAGTACTTATACAAATACTTTCCAGAACATCACGAGGGTCACCTATCTGTAAGTAATATAATAATTCTTTCACCGCAAACTGTAAAATAATATCTTCGTATCTTACAGCTTCTACGAAGTTCCCTTGTGAATAATAAAACGCAAGCCGTTGTCTGTGATGACTTAGGAATGATTCAGTATGCACTTTATGGTAACCCCAAAGCTGAATTAAAAACAAAGGATAGAGCTGACTTATTGGAAGCATTTTTGGGGGCCCTTTATGTTGACAAAGGTTTAGAGTATTGTCATGTTTTCTGCGATGTATGCTTCTTCCCACGATTACAAGATTTTATTATGAATCAAGATTGGAATGATCCAAAGAGTAAATTACAGCAGTGTTGTTTAACACTGAGAACAATGGATGGCGGAGAACCTGATATTCCTGTGTACAAGTAAGTAGTGAGGTTTAAGATTTAAATACAGTGCCAGGAAGTAATTGATGATTTTTATTTTCAGAGTAATTGAATGTAAAGGTCCAACAAATACAAGAGTGTATACTGTTGCTGTGTATTTCCAAGGGAAACGATTGGCAAAAGCATCAGGTCATAGTATACAAGAAGCAGAAATGAATTCAGCCAAAGAGGCTCTAGAAAAGTCGCAAGGTATAAAACCTGAACAGTACTGAATCAACATTAAACATAAAATTTCTATTTCATTTCTTTCTCTCTTTTATAGATTTGTTCCCGCAGTTGGATCATCAAAAACGTGTTATAGCTAAAAGCATGAAAATGCAACAATGGCCAAATAAGCATAAATCTAGAGGAAGGTCCATGAAACCTACAGACAAACATGATGATATTGATTCGAATCCACGTTCCAAAAGAAGTCGTAGTGAAACATAATTGTATCGATGAAATTGACATGTTGCAATTATAATTTAAAACGAAGTTTTTATGAATTGTACAATAACGTATTATAACAGTGAATATAATAAATCTTTAACATTTATATTAGACATGTTTTATTAAAAGTTTTCCACAGATTCAGTATTTGACTTATGTTCTATTAAGGTAGGACTTTCCTGGTTCCACAAATGTTCATTATTTATAAGAATTCGTCGACAAAATCTTATACTATTCAAAATGTTCGTCAGGTTCCAATGTTTTTTTAATAATGCATCTTGTAAAGTGAATAAACCATCTTGAATACAAAGAATATTAGTACAAGTGGCTGTACTTTGAAGTTGCATTCCTATGTCGTGGATTATGGTTTTCAGGTACATTTCATATTCATTTACACAAACAATTTCTGTAAAATCATACCATTGAAACATTAAAATTATTATAAGAGTTTACCTAATCATCTGCTTAATAGAAGTTACTTGCCCAATGTAAATTCGGGAGGAGAAAAATCTATACATCTAATTGTGTATAACATTGGAATTTTAGAATCTAATGGTCTTAGTAGACCTTTTGTTGCCAATTCATATGCTGTTTGAGATTGCATATCTACTCCACACAATCTACAAATATATGAAACAGTATGTACTATTATATTCTAATAATATTAATTATCCTTAAACAATTTTTTACATACTCAAACATTTTTCTTTGATGAGAAGATTGCATCGCACTGCACAACTTATCAATATGACCACGTCTTATGTGATTATATGTAGATTTTTCTATTACTTTTCCAGTCCAAAAGTAATTGTTTGTTGCTATACCAAACTTTCCTGTTACCTTATAGAATCTTGTGCTCTTAGATTCTCTTATTTTTCGTATCATACTGTTTCCATCATTAATACCACAAATTACAACTCCACTTGCATCTTTGTCCATTAATTTTGTGCATGATAATCTAAAGTCTTGGTTCTGATATCTAGGTCCTACTACTAATGGATTATCCGCATAACTATCACGCACAACAACCTTTAATGGCATATTTGTAGGACCATCTATAGATACATATTTAACTGGAGGTCTTACATACATATTATTTAATTCTAGAAAAACCAAAATATGTAACTAAATGATGTTAACGTGGAATACTTTTATCAAATGGAGTAAAGATTGTTACCGTTAGCCAATTTCAGAATCACTGTTGCTCTCACTTGTCCAAAAGGTATAAGCGGAGGCTTGTAAACAAGAAATAATCCATTTAATCCTTTATATACCGAACTTGCATCATTTACATATTTTTGTATCGTAGGCTTCATCAAATTCATTTTAAAATATACTTTTGCTTTGTTTCCCAATAAATATTATTAACCTCACCAAAGTAGCATTATAAAATATATTTAATTTGCGATTGTATTGATTACTAACATAAAGCTAATTACATGATAACATAATAACTAAATTCTTTATTGATTATATATTTCTTAATATTAATGTTCGATTACTGTACTGTTGTTTAATAAACAAATCGAGTGTCTAAATAGCAGGATACCTAAATATGAGACATCTACGTAACTTAAGTAAGTAAGTAGGTAATATTGTATTCAATGGAAGTTTGAACATTCTACGATAGATAGTGCCACGGAACTAATTCGAAAACAACCACTTTGACTATTCAAGTATAATCTATGGTTGTGCAACTGTTGTACAATACTTTCGTTTAATTTCTGTTTAACCTGGCAAAAGTCCGGCGAATTAATTTTTCAACGCAATTGATTAGTTCTATGAACGTTACCGTGATATAATTAAACATGAAAACTGCGCCTGATCCAAAAGACGTCCAGGTATTGCATGTTATCTTTTAAAACTGTAACTGCCAAATATTAACTGTATACTTTATAACCTTATGAGATGTATTTTTGAATTAAATATAGATGAAGTATATTGTATTTTGTCTTTTAAATTCGAAAAAGATCTAAGTGGAATAAATTAAATATTTTATTGCAATGAAGTACATATTTATGTTATTCTTGTGAATGTGTGTGTTTATGTATGTATTATCGCATGGAATTTATTCTAATAATAATCCTTTTTGCAGGAATTTCAATTTAAACAATCGCATACTTCCCAAATTTTAGATGCGTATACATATGTACCAAGTGCTTGCAATCTAATTACATCAGACAAGAAAAGAGGTTTATTATATGTAGGTCAAAACAATAAAATAGTTGTATTAAAGCCAGGAGAAGACAATGATCCAGAATGGAAGATAGAAGTTGATACAACAATAATTGTTTGTAAATTAACGCTAAGCTGTGATTGTTCTTACTTAGCAGTAGTACCACAAGGACCTTCAGTTTTAATTTATGATGTTCAAGCCCTTATTAAAAGTGTACGTTTTTTTATATACAGGCTTTATAATTTATTAAAAGCTTTATTAGTTAATTTAAAATATTATAATTATATTTCTTACAGAATTTACATTTATTACACGAAATTAGAATATCTACTTCGAACACTGAAGTCTTTGTGAAGGATGTACAATGGAATCCAACTGTCCCAGGAATGTTATGTACTGTAGCTAGTGATTATACGGTTGGTAGTTTTCAAATAAAGGAGGAAAAGACGATAGAGTTGAAAGCTTTAGAAAAATTAAATGGATTGGAAGCCTTGTGTGCAGCCTGGAGTCCAAAAGGAAAACAAATAGTTATTGGCTGCAAAAATGGAAGCATTGTACAATTGAAGCCGGACCTAAAAGTAGCTAGAACAATTCCTGGTCCTACTCCATATATTGGAGAAGTTGTCTCTATTTTATGGATTAGTAATTACCAGTTTTGCGCTGCTTACTTAAGTAGTGATCAGAGGATAAATGTTCTTATCGTTGATGCTCCTAAAGGTGAAGCAAATGGCATTTTCACATGTTACGAAGATATCACATATGGAGCAGTGGATACAGAAGGAGAAGGAATGGTTACACGTTATTATTTTGATCATGTGCCAGAATGGGGTTTAATCATTGCTGCTAGTAGTAACAGCAGTGAAATAGCTGTGTTAGGATCTACAGATGGAGGCACTACTTGGAATCAATGGCAATTAGTTGATAGCGGCAGGGCTGAATTACCATTAATTTGTACCACAGAGAGCTATCCAGTAGGCTTAGCCATAGACAGATCTCCTGTCCGAAAATTACCATGGGGAGCTGATTCTATTTTGCCTAATCCAGTTCCTATACTACATATTCTATCAACATCTGGACAACTGTGTAGCTTTCATATGGTAAACTTGACCTCCAATTGTCCTGCCATTAATTCTCCTCCTTCAGAAATTGTTGCACCACCACCTCAACAATTGAATGCTCTTCCAACAGACACATCTTTTCTTGTGAATGGTATAATAACAAGTACTCCACGCCCAAAACAAGCAGAAAATGTTTCTGAACGTCCAAAACCAACTCCTACAGGAAATATCTTCGACAAATTTTTGAAAGGAAATGGCCCCTTACAACAACTCCCAGTTGAGAAAAAACAGCAGGAACAGAAACCAGAAAGTGCAAGTACCGAAGTTAAAGCAGAAGTATCAAAAGAAACACACTTGCAAGAACCTGTTAAGCCAGATATTAAATTAGCACCAGTTAAGGAAACAATTCTACAAGAACCTGTAGAGCAAAAACCAACTATTGAAGATGAGAGCAGGGATATTCGTGCTTACATGGAAGAGCATAATTTATTTGAAAAGGAATTGCGGAACAGATTGGAACTACAAACTTGGGAATGTGGCACAGAAGAGGAACGTCGTAAACTTATAGACACATCTATTATAATAGACCAGTTTCTCAGAGAACTTAGAGAAACGACAAATAGTTTATCCAGCGATATCGCGTATTTAAAAGCGTTATTGTTACAATCGTTTGCTTGGGTTGAAGAAACTAAGTCAAAGAATGCGGCTAGCATGGATTTTACCGCTAGAAATTGCAGGGATAATAACAAAGTATCTGATCTACAGAAGCTGTATTATTATACTCAAACACAACTTGCTCAAGCTAGTAAAATTTTAGACTTGGAATGGTCAGATCATAAGACTCAAGAAATGACGCGAATGAAGATTCCTCATTTAGAGTTGGTGTATCAGAATCTTATATTGCATAATAAAATCATTCAAGAAGAGAAAGGCAAAGTACAACAACTAAAAAAACAGTGGAAACTACTTGCTCGTAATAATAATATCTTTGGATTAAATCGTTCACTGTCGAATTTAAGTATTACATCATCCAAGTCATCTGTTTCTCTGCCAAGAAACGCAGGAATTATAGAAGCACGTTGCAAAGCTATTGCTTCTAAAACTTTGAGTTTCACTCAAGGGAAGCAAATTAAACTGAGAGACTATTTATCTTCTTCCACGCCAAGAATTATAAAACCTATGAATCCGTCACCTATTCAACATCGTTTAGAGGCAACTTTGTCTTCTCTAGCTTCATTAAATACTACACCCATTGAAACTAAAAGCAAGGTGGAACCGCTTGTTTCGAAACAGACTCCGGTTGTTAAACAGGCAAATGAGAAACCAAAACAACAAAGTCCTCTAGCTTCTCTGAATAGTTTCGTAGCGAGAATCGGTACAAACGAAATAACTAGCGTGCCAATGCAAAATAAAGCACAGATAAAACAACCTATTTATGCTACAACATTTCCTGTTGCCGCTGGAGCTAAATCTTCACAGACAGAGAAGAAATTAAGTTCACCGGTGACAACTGTTACTGCCCACCAAACAAGTAAATCAAATGATACTATTACATTTAATCAAGTTAATACTTCAACTCATAATGTATCTAGTTCAATGAAGTCTTTCCCTAAAGTTGATTCTATTACATTTGGTACACCAATACAAAAGTCTGAGGAATCCACTGTACAGAAATTTACATCTAAAGAAACTGGTGCCAAACCTAATAAAGAAAGTATATTAAATACTGACTCCCCCAAAGTAGAAACTATTTTATTTAATACTGGCACATTGAAAGATGTATTATCAACAGACACATCATCAGGCAAAATGCAAGGAATTAATTTAAACGCTTCATTGAAATTTGGACTTGCAGCAGCAACAGCAACGACTACAATAACAACACCAGCGAAACCTGAAGCAGCAGCTACATTTAGTTTTGCCACTCCAAGTACTGTTCCGACATCTGTAAAGAGTACTTCACAGACTGTTATGCCACAAACAACAGTTGCACAAACGTTTTCTTTTGCTTCAAAACCATCAACTCCTACAAGTCCATTTAACTTGAAAATACCGTCGACAACAGCACTTCAATCACAGGAATCATTAAATCTACCAGGTCTTCTTACAGGACTGCAAACCAATAATCAAACTTCTGTGTCTACCAACAATCTTAATACGGATACAAAGTTCAATTACAAACCGACATTTGGAGCATCTGGTTTTCCAATGTCGTTAGGACAAATGTCTATTGGTCTTACAAGTGGAACTCCTACAACAGAAACTGTCACCACTACCCCATCAGTCACCATTGAAAAAATACCTTCTACAGAATCGAAAATTCCTGTTTTCCCAAGTACAGCGCAAGCTTCGCCTACCGCTGTCGCTACAACTACTGCTGCTTCTTTATTTGGCAATCAGACAAGTGTTTCAGGCATTTCTATGTTTGGAGGAATGTCAAGTACTACACCAAGTACTTCTACTTTTACTGTTACAACAAGTGGTACAGGATTTGGAAGTCAAACTACGACATCATCACCTATGTCTATATTTTCTGGTTTCAAGGCCACTCCAACAACTAGTACACCAACAACTACGGTTCCAACAACATCTAGTACAGTTTCTTCGTTTCAAGCTTCCTTATCAAAACCTACTTATGGAGAAACAGCTACAAGTTTGTCCCCGTCGAGTCCTGTCACTGCTAGTAGCAGCACTGCATCTACATTAACCTTCGATAATTCGACAACCACTTCTGTTACTTCAGTTTTTGGAAAATCACCTGCTCTCACGATGAACGCTCAATTCCCAAGTACACCGACAGTTTCCTCTGCAGCGAATACTTTTGGGAAACCGATCATCAGTCCTGCGTCTATGCCCTTTGGAAGTTCTACAAACACGTCCATATTTGGCGCTATGCCAACAACATCAGCAAATAGTTCCATCTTCAGTGGAAGTAATACCAATTCAATTTTTGGCACAAACACTCAAGCGTCTCCTTCTGGTTCCATCTTTGGAGGAAATTCATCTTCGATGAACAGCTTTGGTATACCTTCGAAGCCCCTTTTTGACACTAATACTCAAAAGTCTGGCTCGATATTCGATGGAACTCCAAACTCGGGATCAACATCATTCTTTGGTGGTGGTACGACTAATACCGCACCAGGTACATCTTCTCCTGGGTCTACATCCATATTTGGAGCTAGTGCTTCACCGTTGGGTATGGAGCAGCCTGCATTAGGTGCACAACCTGCGTTTGGACAAGCACCTGCATTCGGTTCTAAACCAGTATTTGGATCAGCGCCGACATTTGGCTCTACAAAACCAATTTTTGGTGATACGTTTGGATCAGCAGCGTTTGGAACAGCTGCAACTCCCCCAGGTAATTAGTTTAGATCTTCTGTTATCTTTCATATATTCATAAATACAATAACTAATCTAATCATATTAACTGAAATAGCTTTCGGAAGTCCACCACCACCCATGGGAGCTGCTCCAACTCCTATGGATAATAATATGTCGAAAGTTTTTGGAAATGTGGGAGGTAACAACACATTTGAAACCCTAGCTACTCAATCAGGTGAACTTAGTTTTAGTAGTTTAGCTCAAAAGAGTTCAGAACCTGATAAACCTCCATCATTCAATAGGTAAGCAGATAGTTTTAAGCTACGTTCAACATATTACCAAGGAGGTTATTAATTTATTAATCAATCTATTTATTCCTTTCCAGCGGAAGCTCCTTCTCAAGTTGGCGGTAGTCCACGAGCTTTACACTCAACGAAAGTCAGATCATTGGTGATCATTCGGATCGTTCATACGAGTTATTCTTACAAAGAGAGAATAATTTAATTTTAACATTCTAAATTTACTCGGATCATGTATTTATAATTATTTTTTATCAAAAAATAGAGTGAACGATGTTGATTTTAACATTCTTCAAAACCGTATTGTACAACCGTAAATGTGATTTAGTATATTTTGAATTTATTTACAAGAAACGAGCATTGTATAAAACGTATCATTGTATAAAAAATATCGTTAGATTCCCCTCTTCACGGGTTTTGGTGCTATCGATACTTTAGTCGGTTTACAAAGGTCAATTACGCACGGATCATCGAGAGCCGCCGATGGTACGAGAAGGGCAAGGGATATTTCTACGTTGCAGGCTTCCATCCAGACTTGATGGGACAACAGAACCGTGGTCTTCAATCTGTAATCGCTTTGTTCTGTGTTCTGTAATCTGAGATCAGATTGTCGTGGCAGTAGTAACTGCACTTGTTGATCAGGATGCCTTAACTTAACGCGCAGTATGCTAGGATCCCTCAAATTTAATATTTTTGCAGTTAACGGAATGCCCAACAGAAGACCTCCGGTGAATTTCAACGCGGAATCCGCGTCTCCTCTAGGTTCCTCTATAATTGCTCTGCAGAATCGCGTAGATACCGATGGCCTTGGTAACCGTTCTTCCCCTTGCGATGGAGGCGTTAAAAGCAATGGCAGTAACAAACGCGTTAAAGATCCTGGTTTTACGTCGGCTAAGGTTGGGATTTGAAGAACTAGAGCCCTAGAGAACGACGGTAATTTAGACGTATCTTGAGGTAGAGTATCAGCCTCAGAAAGAAAGTATCTCGTCAATGGAAGAGCACTTCTTCCGGTTACGCTTCTTGTGACTCGAATTAGTTCAACTGCCAAAGCTTTTAACCACACATCAACAGCTAACATCATGTCAGTCTCTCCTAATCCGCTGAACAGTCGTTGCAACCTGAAAATTTAATTTGAAACAATCCATCGCAATAAGCAAATAATACTGTAAACGAGACTGTAGAATATAAATTTACTTTTGAGTGTTCTGAAGAAGAACCGAGACATTGGTCGTTGTATTCGGAAATGGACTGGTTGATACTGAATTCGCTGACGTTATCGAGAATTCCTTCAAAACGGATTTCAAAAGCAATAAGCATCGTATGTAGAGGGCGGTGAACCGTGCCGCACCCTCCATGCGATAGTCCATTTCTGCCAAACGGTCTAAATCGATGGCAGCAGCTTCTAAGAGCTGAGTATGAACTCTACCGCCAGGCCTTGCATTCTCGACGCCTGTCACCACCTTTTCTAGAAACTCTTTTCCACGCTCGGTCTCCTCGTCGACTTTGTCTTCTTTCTCAACGCCGGGCCCACTTGTTATGGCTGGTCGTAGTCGAGGAACTAAATGCGGCATTGTGTCCCGCAAGTAGTGATAATGTTTAGATGTATGCTCTGTGAAAAGAGCATGCATGCTTGGGCAATGCAACGCTGCATTGAATATCATTACCAGCACACTTGCATCTATTGTCTGAAGTTAAGAATACTGAAGATGGAGATTGTGTGTAGTATGAGCGAATGGTAAAAGGATACAGGACGGTTCATCTACGTCTGGTTCTGGTGTATCGAAAAACGGATGTCGACCGAGAAGTTGAGGTACCAAAGGCAACGTCAAGTATGGATGCGAGGCCCCTAGGGCTGCCAAACAACTTCTAATGCTCTCCCTATCTTGTGGGTAACGACTCAAATTTTCCAGTAGACGATTTACACACATGTACAAGCAATTTCTTGTAGCAAGCCGACTGGCAGCTAGCGTGGCGTGCAGACCTTCTCGTACTTCGCCTGAAAAGTCTTCTAGCGCGCCTAATATTGTTTCCAATTGGTCCTCGCGAAGCGTCACGCTCGCTGACATTCTCCTTAATGACTCGATAGCTCTCAATCTTATGTCTTGAATTTCATCGTTAAACATATCCACCATAAATTCTAAAGCAACCCTAGCTATGTTTGGTTGTTGCAAAGACAAAGTACAAAGTGCTTCAACTGCCGCTGTTCGTACCTGAATATAATTCATCGTATGGGTAAAATATATAACTTACAGTAGATACGTGTAAGTACAATCCTACCTCCAGAAACTCATCTTCTAAACCGTGAATAAAAGCACCGCAAGATCCACTTTTTTCTTCGACTTCTGGCCTATCTGCTTCTACGATCTTTTGCTTTTTATCTAATGCCTGTTCTATGTATCGTTGTGATACACCTGTCATTGAGCCTAGAAGCGTCATTGCTGAGGTTCTGACTCTTGGGGACAGATCACCCATAAAACTACAAATCTGAGAAAATGCACAGTCTACCATACGTGTATCTTCCCCATCTGAACCCATAATCATACTAAAAAATAATTCAATTAGTATATATCTAATGTAATTTAGTACTTGAATTACATGTGAATATTACTTCTCAGGATATTCTCTTCCTAAAAGCCATATTAATTTTAAGACAGCACGCCGGACAATTTCATAATCATCCCTAAGTGCAGCACATGCTTCCCCAAAGAAACTTGCAGGTAATCTACATCCTCTATGAGAATGAAGCTCTGCCATTGTTTCGAATGCCTGAGCACGAACTCTGGGATCTTGAGAACGTGCATAATTGCCAACAAATATTAATGTATCATCTGCAGTATTTGCAGTCAAGTATCTACCAATGATAGAAAGACAACGTGTTTGAACACCATGCCAGGTATCTGGTAAATGTTCACGAGCGATTTTTAGTACAAGGGTCCTGAAAAAACATCAATTTCTATCACGAGTCAAGAGTGAATTTACATGTAAAATACCTATGATAATCTCCTAATTTCAACAATGTTGCTAAGCCTTGGCTTTTTACTCTATGCGATTCTTCATTTTTTAAAAGTTCTGCAGTTTCACTGACAATTCTTGTCTTTTCTGTGGAATCATGTGTTATTTCTCCTAACTCTGCAAATATCCAAAGTATTTTGGCGCGAACTGCTGCTTCTGTTTCAATGGCAAATCTCTCTGATAATTTTTTTACAACTGAAGGAACATCCTCTGGCGAGATATAAACTATAGTATCGGATATACGGACTAGAAGTTGTAAAGCATCATTGCCACATTTACATTTCTCAAGGCACTCTATATAAGCTAAGGCAGAACTGCCTTCTGTCCCATTTTTACTTCCTGATGCAGCTGCTAGACGTAATGTTTTTAACCTTTTTAAAGGCGGCTCATTTACAACCTATGTATGAATATAATCATATGAATAGATTAAGCTAAAAATTTTAGAATTATAAAACAATCTAATTTACCTGATTCTGTGTAAATTCAGCTAAAACTCGTTTTTTCATTAAAGCTGCCATATCAATAAAATGTATTACACTTGTTCACAACAAGAGATTCAGGTTATGTTCTCTAATATTATGAAGATCTAGATTGTACCCTTTAAATATTTGTATATGTAGAACATAAAGATTAATATCCGCTCTTTTTCTAAAATGTCTCGGAATATATACATATACATAAATAATACTTATATTCTTAACATTTAAATATTATCTACACTTTAAATTGCTTGGGAAACACAAATTTGAAAGTATAAATTGTAAGGTTATGATACATCAGCTGATCGTATATTTTAACTCGCAAATATTCACTGAAAATATTCTTGAACTTTTCGTTATCGATTTAAACGATACTATTTTACATTCTACAAAATTAATCTTTTTATTATTAATAGAATATTTTTTACTTTAGAATAAAACCTATCACCTTTTTTAATTCGATTACGATATCATTAAATACTTAACGATTCCCATAATTATAGCATTCATGTTTTAGAAGCGAAGGTTAACATTATTTCTGTTAATGTATGTGTATAACTCTATTCTTACAATGACCTCCTACAAGTG